ATCCAGTTCACGGTCTTATAAGATCGTTAACTCCAACATCTGGCCGTGAACATTGGATGTTTCCTCCTCTTTGCCCGGTCTTTGCTCCTTTTCTTCCAACTTTTGACTCCGAGTTTGGTTTTACCTGTTAGGATCCGAAACACACTGAAACCCAAGAAACCTAGAGTAAATTGCAACAAAAGTCAAAGAGAATCGGGGGTTGGGGGGGGGGGTAAAAATTTTACAACTAGGCCTGAATCAGTTAGATTATTAGAAAATGTGAACATCTCTTACTTTGGCTTTCTTTTTCTGCATTTACTTTTCTTTTTTCCTCTTGCGTCTCACGTGGTTGTTTTTGCATTGCTGTGAGCGGGTGAATTACTACCACGACAACAACATCAACAAAACTCTTCAAAACTTGAAGAAGGAGAGAACCGTTCGGCAAGCTTTCTTTCCCAGGAGCCCAAGTATACCATAATTGAGGTAGAAATCAACAACATTGCACAAGGTGAGTAGGCGAACAATGAAAAGACCATGGTGTACTACTTCAACCCCAAGGTCGAAGAGATCAAACACAACATCATGCATCCACCCATCACGGCAAATAACTTTGAGATCAAGCTTGGGTGGATCACAATGATTCAGAGAAGTATCGAGTACCACGAGCTCCCGTGGAAAAATCACGTGAGTATCTCAACTAGTTTATTGTGCTCAAAGATGGGATAAAAGCAAATGGGGTGCCTCCATATCTTTTTCGGCTGCGTTTGTTTCCCTTCTCATTTGTCGGGAAAGCACGATAGTGGCTAAATGGACAAGCTCCCCTATCCATCACCTCATGACCATATATCATGAAGAAGGTCATGAACTGCTACTACCTGCCTTCCAAAACTGCTGAGCAATAGAAGGAGGTCACTTATTTTACCCAGGAGGAGGACGAGACTCTCTGCGATGCTTGAGAGAGGTATTCATGTCTATTCTTCAAGTCTTCACACCATGGCTTAGATGATTCCTTCAAGGTGGGAACCTTCTATAGTGCCCTCTTCTAAGAAGGAATGTTGAACCACACCTCGCCTTTGATGAACTAGGTGTTCGAAGAGATGGCTACTAGGGTCTATGACTGGGGTGTTTCATGGAAGCGAAGGACTTCTCGAGACAAGGGTGTCCATGGTGTCGCCTTCCAACCATCGGGGATACCAAAATAGACAAACTTATTCAGATAGTAGCATAGAAAGAGACACAACCTGCCAACCGGTCTACACTTCCAGCTCTGTAGTGTGATTGGTTTTCTAACACTAACCATGTTCTCGAGGACTGTCGATGCATAAGGCCACTACACCTTAGGAGTAGGCGGATTTCATTGCCAATGCCAGGAACAATAACCCATACAACAAGACCGATAATCAAGGGTGGCCTAATCACCCAAACTATGCGTGTTCATCACCCACAAATACTCGACCACCTGAATTCAAGGCACCAGCTACAAGGTACCTGTAGAGACCCCTCCAGTAGCAATGACAACTTTAACAACCCCAGAATTCCCAGCAGCAAGTTGCAGGAAGTTCCCCTATCTCATTCAAATAAGCCCTCTAAGCTAAAAGACCTGGTTACCAGTTTTGCTACCTCAACTTACCAAACGTTTGGTTATCTTGATAAGTTCGTGGAGGTTGATACTGAGAAGTTTGCCTCCATTGAGGTTGGTCAGAGGAACCAACAAGCTTTGTTGTAGAACCTGGAAGCTCATATTGGCACCATAGCTCATGTTGTCTTTACTAGAGCTCCTGATGCACTTTCATGTAACGCAGTTGATAATCCTCATGACAAGCAAGATCATTTGAAGGCAATAGTCCCCACTCCTAAATGATCACCCGTTACTAACACATGAAAAATAGGCAAAGGTACCTATAGTTCTAAGGTAGTATAGTAGGAAGCAATATCGTACCCATAGAGACTTTGTGTACTAGTACTCAGCTCTTACCTATTATCTAGTGAAACATTTTTAGTTGATTTTTTAAGATATAAATATTAAAAACACAACTAAACAATTTCAAAGTAAAATTAAGAGGAAAAGGGGGTGTCCCGGAAGTGAATATGTCTAACATGCCTTTTACAGACAAGTTGAATTCAACATAGACGAGTGTTCATATCTTAGACCGTGAAAATTATGAATTTAGTGTTAACCATTCGCACATGTATTAACACCCTTTTGAAAAATGGAGGTTGAGAACATTGCCATGAGGACGACGAAGAACGGTGGGGTAGAGAATATGGTATATATATTAGGTTAATAGATTGCACCTAGAAAACTTCTGGAGGGGGAATAATCGTTGGCCGATGACGGTGGTAACCGACCAATCTATCACCTCAAATGATTATCAAAACCCCACAAAACAGTGTTGACATTGGTAATCTTAATAACTCAATATACTATGGTATTCAAAAATACGAACACGAACATGAGAACCACGAATAAAAAGTATTTTATATGGAAATGGACAGTATATCAGCTAACTTCTAAAACAAGAAAGAAAGAACAAAGTCTATTGTACGGTGTGTAGTGTGTAGCTGTTTCTTCTCTTGCAAGCTGCTATTAATACGCAGCAGCTCTGACGTGGTCTAGCAACACATGCATGTTCCAGGGCGTGTTCACAGTGGGTCGCCAGATCAATGTGTCAGCGTTGCAGAGATTGATTGGCTGTGTTCTTTTACTAAATATGGCCGAGGAACACAACCATGTTCTTGGCTGTGTTGACTGGTAGATAGATGAATCTGTCGGTTGCTCCCTTGAAACATGTTGAATATGGTCGACTCGCCCTGAGCATGGTCGTGTTGGTCACCCTGTTAGATCCATTAACCATAAAACCATAAATGTTATCTTCTGCGTTGATTTGAATGCGAAATGTGATTTGTTGTCAACACGTCCTAGTGACACGGTCGTGTTGTGTCCCCATGTTGATAGGATAATACATTCTCGACACAGGCCAACACGGCGAGTGAAAACGACTGTGTTCATGGGCCGTGTTCTCTTCTTGATCGCTGATGACCTAGTCTTCAACATTTGTATGTTGTATAGTGCGTTGCTGTTGATGTGGTCTTTGACAGGGCCATGTTGTTGACCATGTTGGCTCTTTTGACATATTTTCCTTCACTTTATATGAGGCGTGGCGGTTTGACTCTACTGTCCGGCAGTTTGAATCTGCCTTATCAACCACCTTTCTCCGTGAACACATCACCATAATATATGGTTTGTGATATGATCCCAACTGGCCAACTCTACACGTTTTTATTGCTTGCCAAAGAAGCTATCAAGGTTGGAAAGATAAGAGGTAAAATTTGGTTGTGTGGGAACAGTTTTATGAAGCCTACTTTGGAGCTCTATTCGAGAAGCATGGATGAGAGTCGAGTCCAGATGCTTCTACGACATGAAAGTAGGTATGTTTTTCTAAAAGGGCAAGGCATTGGATGAAGAATTATATATCTGGAAGGCTTCGAACAAAAAGCTCAAAGTTGGTACGAACTCACAAAATTCTGCCTTTGTAAAATAGAATTAGTTTTCCTAGTTCAATTCGGATTAGGTTCTTTTGCTACTTTTTGGTTCCTTTTCGAATTAGAATGTAATTAGGAGTTTATTGGACGTGTGTAACCCTAGCTAGGCCTATTTAAACTTTCTATTTCGTTGTAAAACGCATACTTTGTTGAATAGAAATCGAAACTGTTTGGTTTGTTCAAGTTTGTGAACTTGTTGGGTTTGGTGGATTCCAAACTTGCTAAACTTGTGTATGTAGTAGACTATAGTAGTAAAAACTAGTGTAATTGCATCTTTGTACCCATGGGTACCCATGAACTCGCGAATACCTAGTGGGTTGGGTTGGGTTTGAGTTTTTCAAATTTTGTGGGTTTTACCCTGATTTTTTGTGTGGATAAGCCAATAGGTTTGGGTTTGAGTTTGACATAACCCGCCCAACCCGACTCATTGACATCCCTAATTTTACCTGTAGTTGTGGGGTGGGGGGGGGGGGGGGGTGGTGGTTTGGTCCAAGCATCTCTTATTTTCCCTTTCTCTTTAGTAACATAATTTCCTTAGTACCAAAAAGCAACTGGAGATCGACAAGATAGTGATTGAGCTAACAGGAGTAGGCTAGGATAGTTCACGATTGAGCCACTATACTAGAAGCCTAGCAGTGGTATACTTATCATTTCTAGGGTTAGAAGTTAGCATGCATCATAGAATTCAATAGCATCCTGAACCGAGAGTAAGGGGAATCAATTTTTTGGTGCCTTGGTCGAGAAAATCACTGATAACTAGCTGAAATTAAGTTAGATTGTTAATTAAGTCTCAACTTATTTGCTTCTTTTAGATTTTGTTTATGGCTGGTAGTAGTAGTTTAGGGCGTGACATTTTGGAAGTAAAATCATGGTTATGTATTAATTGCTTATTTTATGCGAATGAGAAGTGTAGATAATCTTGTACCGCTTGATACCGAGATTGAGAGGACTATCTGAGCCTGAAGAAGCACTGCAGGGTAAGACAGAGAATTTATAAATCTCCCATTATTCATCCTCCAGTCCCAAACAACAATTTATAAAGGGGCTTGCTATTTGATGGAATGAAGAATGAAGATGCCCACACCTATGTGAAGTCGTTCCTTGAGCTTAGTGACGGAATAAAGATCAATGGAATAACCCCCAGAGGCGATCCAGTTGAGACTTTTTTTGCTTGCTCTCAATAGAGCGGCAAAACAATTACTTAACAATCATCCTCAACATTCCATTACATATTGGAAGAACCTATGCGACAAGTTCTTTGCAATTCTTTTATATATAAAAGCGGGCTACGCTTTATTGGCCCAAATTGTATTTACTGTTTCAGTTTCTGTCTTTTAGTGCCAAGCCTACTCACAGCCAGCCCCGGGCGAAGTTGTTGCCGTCCCTTACCTCCGTTGAATCAGCCATGCTTCCATAAACCTATCCCAGCCAGAGACCCCAAAAGGATGGTCCATGCTTTCTGTACTCCCCGTCCCCTCATGCCCTCACCCCAAAATCTGCAATCGCAGTTGCCGCTTCAGTCTTCTCCTGTCCCCTCACCTCTTCAGGTTGCTTCTCGATGTGGCGAGCTGTACGCATCTACTCCAACACGCCACCACCAATTATTTTTCTAGATTTTCCCTTATTATTTGATGGGATGGGAATACTCTTACTCTCTCCACGATCTTCCTTTTTTCATGGAAGATTATATCCAAAATGTCAGGGGAGAGCGAGCAAAAGCTACGGTATCTGTTCAAAGAGGCGAGGAATAAAGCACCGTCAATCATGTTGATCTGGTCGAAGAGGCGGATGTCAGCGGCTCTTGGCGAGTTCAAGTGTAACTATGGCAGCAAAATCCAGCCCCAGCCCCAACCCCACACCAACCAGCTTTTCTCCCTCTGTGGTGTAGCGGCAGCCGACTCCGACCTGTGTCCCCGAAGACACTCATCTCAACGCCTTGATCTTCATTTGCGACGTTGAACAAACGGCGAGCTCCTCCTTTGGTCGTATTGGATGGTGCACCAGCAGCAGCCAAGGGTTACAACTCAATATCAACTCTCAATCCTCATTCTGTAAGTGAAAACCCACCTTTTCTTTTCTTGGCCTCTACCCTCTTTCCGGTTTTGATTTGTCTGTTTTACCGACTTTAGTGTAAGAAAACAGGGGCTTGAAGATGTTGACTGGAACAACTGGCCTACTATGAAGACTAGAAACTGATTTACAAAGACAAAGAAAGGGATTACAACGCTTTCATGGATATAATAGGGGTAAAAGGCAGGTAAAAAATGGTTCTACTTGAAGCCCCCAATTAGCCAGCAGAAGCGCTACCTGGAGATGAGAAAGAATGGCAGGATGGAGAAAGCTTGCAAGTCCATTCCTGAGGTCAGTTTGGAAGTTGACCGCGTCGCCATTAGGGTATGTATGTTTTTCTCTATGATCTTCTTCCATAGTTTGTAGGTAATTAGATTGGCCAATACCGATTCGAGTGTCCAACTTGGTTGCTTTCTTATAAATTTTGACTCTTGAATTAGTTATAAGTATAGGTGGGAAGGTAGCCGAGAAGGCAGTTTTGAGCTTGAACGAGTTGTTGATGAATTAGCTGCTGAAATTGATTGGTGATGGAGATGTTAAATTCAAAGGAAATTGCAGGCTAGAATTGATCAAATTAGTTTCAGGAGCTCCGTAACAAGAATGGCTTGAAAGGTGTCAAATCTTTTCTTCACAGATGGGTTGAAAGGTGCTTTCTTCTCTATTGATTTTCTCCATCTACACAGTGATTCATTTACCATTCACATTCTATGAGGCTTAGTGTGCTTGCCTTACTCTATTGTTTGTTTCAGTTAAACAAAGTCACCATCTAAGTGGACCGAGCCACTCCTGCTGATTCAACACACAAAAAACTGAAGCCAAAGTTGGTTCCTCAACCTCACAAAGTTCTGTAAGCCTAACTTAGTCACCTGTTACTGAGCGTTGTGCAAAAGGAAGCAGTAACTGAATTGTGTTCTTGCTGCAAATCCTTTTATCGGCATTTGAATGCCCACATTGTAATGATAGGTAAGCTGGTTTTTATGAGTAATTGTTGTCCATACACAAGATAACATTTGCTGATTATCGATTGTCCGACATGGCTACTTCACAGGTTTTGCGTGGTTACAAAATGTAGTTATAGTGTTAGTTGATGCAAATTTATTTTTAATTTGTGAAAGCCGATGCATTCATTTGCAGAGAAGGAATCCAAAAGGAAAAAACTGAAACTGTTGCACAGTTGACACTGAAAACTTCACCTTTAGTGAACCGAGTCTCCTGTTTTCCATATAAAACTTTGCTGTTGGGAATGTACACTTTTGTCATATCCGAAGTTCTTAGGCTTAAAAATTTGCCTCAAGAGGACACTCTTAGTTCGCAGAGTAGTCTGTGATCATGCTTGCATACTATTGTACATGATACTCGATAGAGTTAATTTGTGAGTTGAAGGCGTTAAGAACTCAGTTCTTTGAATTAAAGAATATCCTGAATGAGAAGAAAAATGAAATGCAGCCTCTCCAGTAGGCATTGGGGAAGCTCTGGAACAATAATAATGGTCATGGTGGTATATGCTCATCAGAAGAAGAGCTCTATGATCTGGTACGTTGTATAATTTATCATTTGAACTAACAATTTCCGTGAGGTTCGTAAATAATTGGTTTGATTTTCATTGCTACTTTTTCTAAATGATTACACGGTATGTTTTTTCCTATGGTGTGCTGGTGTAGCCAGTGGCATCCCGGCAGGTCACTAACCACAGGTTTTCAATGTTCTTGGGCTATGATTCATCATCTATACTCACCAGTTTTCATGTTCCTTCTCTCTCAATTTCGGTTTCTTTTCGTTATTATTTCTTGGATGACTCCCAAGGAACTGCTTTATCTTTGCTTTGTGTTTCTACTTTCCTGAACCAGGCTTCACTTTCGCATCTGGGAGATAGTTGAAACTGTTTGATAGCATACTGGGGGGCTTGGTTTGCTTGCACTTGCGTATTTCATTTTAAGGAAATCAATGTCGTCTAACTTATTTCATTTTTTTATAAGAATGCATACATGTGTGATGATCATTCAAGGAGAATGCTACCATTTGATAGCCATCCAGTCAGAGTCAAGCAACAAGGTGCTTCAAACATTAGCAGAAAGATCTCTTAATTGAGCTACACAAGATAGTTGACGCCGCTGCAACTTTAAGGACTCCAAGAGATGGGAGAAAGAGGATTTGGACCTATCTACATGCTTGAATTTACACTGCTGTAAACCGATGAGAACCGAAATGTTTCCTGTTACGACATTAAAACTTTCTATACTAATCATAGTAAATTCATTCTAATTATTCAGGGTGTAATGATAGATGGACAAGTGATTGTGAAGAGCCTATCAAGCAATTCTGGGCAACGCAACAATCAAGGTTATATGACCTTTTCTTCATGCAACAGTTAGCTGGATATAATCTTTCAACTATGAGCATGTTTTCTCCGGGCACTTTGTGGTTCTTGGTATATTAGATTTGTCTGCTTTTTATGAACAACATTATGCTCAAGAAATAAGCGGACCTGTCAATATTTACCTACCTTTACTTGCTATATGCTCCGAAATTCTTTATTTCTATCATTGTTAATACTGACCCTCATTTGTTGTTTCGTGATTAAGGCGATGACGAGATTATGCAAGCGAGGAATGCCAGGAATAAAGGTGAAGAATTCAGACAGAAGAAAAACTAAGCAAAGAATAAGCGAATTAGAAGAAATCCATGGTGGTAGGTGAAACATGAAGTTGTGAAGCAGTAATAAAGTTTCAGTTTCTAAGTCCTCTTCCTTCCTTAGATTTGTTCGCCTATTTGTTGACCTTGGTCACACCGGTTTGCTTTTCCTTTCAGACATTAGTGACACACTCGACCTGTTTTCAGTGTTGTCACAGGTTAGTGCTTTAGCGATTCCTGATTCCACTGTAATTTGCTTTCTAAACATGCATGGACTTATATGAGTTATCTAAGACTTCGAGGAAGCAATTTCAGATTCCAAATCTGTTATACATATTCAACATGACTTAGGTCTCTTATCCAAGGAGTTTGATAGGATTTGGAATAGTTTTGGACGTAATAAGGAAATTGGAAATAATATTGTTGTACTTAAGTTATATTGTTGTACTTGAGTTACACACTTTCATGGATGGAAAATGTTGATGTTAATTTCAGTAGCACAACAATTCCCTATTTGTCGTTATCAATACTGCCCACATTACGATTATGCTGGCACAACTTTAGTGCCTGCGGCGTAGCCGCGGGTATTGATTCTAGTTGCATGTAATTGTAGAGTTCTAGATACTAGAATTCTGGAACTGTCCATAAAAGATTCTCTAGAGCAATATAGTGTAACGACAACATGTTAGTTCACAGTATTCATTCCACAGTATATTCAGCTGTACATATTTGCTGTGCTTTCGATCTCTAAGCTGTGAGTGGACCAAACTACCGACACCATGAACGGTTTTGCTTGTAAGAAAATCAAATCCAAATGTGAAGGTACACAAATACTGCTTGTTGGCTGCTTTGATGAGGACTGATCAGGCATTCAGGAGCAGTGGAGAGTGATTTTAGCTGTTATGTCTATATATGTAATCATCACGAAAAGTAATGGTTGTTGTTCGCGAGTGGTGTCACGTCAAGTGATTGATTCTACGTGTGGTAGGTAGCCTCCATTTGAGTTGAAACTTGACAGCCCATCAATTCAATAATGAAAGCGTTCTCGCTTTCTTTTCCTTTCCAAACCTACAGTAACTTTGGTCTCCAACACAATGGCAAACCGCAGATGCACAAAACCCTACCCTAATCAAGCTGTCCACAAATGACAAATCTCAAGTGCTCACAGCCTCACAGGACCTACAGACTAGTGTATATAACTACATATCCAACGCACCTTTATCCTTCCCTATAGATAATAGGGAATGAGAACCATGGGGATATACAGTGATAACCAAAAGCCGGTATGCCCATCGAAATTGTGAGCATCAGTATGTAAGTTCCGAATCTAGGTAGTAGTATCAGGTCCTTTAGCCATTGTTCTTGAAAAATAACCAGGTCTGGTCCATTAATCAAAAGAAGTTCTGATGCGATCCCTATCTACCAAAAATTTGACCTCTTGCTCCGAAAGAGAGCTACACCTGACCAGAGATAATGGGGGATTAATTAATACAGTTAGGGTCTGTGAACTGTAATCATGGCATAAGAGGACCAAACCGTACAGCTGCACCTGACCAGAGCTACACTGCCAAGTGCCCAATTGAGAGTTCAGCTCATGCAACAACAAACCTTTCAACCATTTATTCATTCAATCTGTACACTGTCCACCAAACCCATGAATGCAGTTTCGGGAAACTCCAGTCTGGATCCCCAGCTAAAGAGCACTGCTTCCCAAGCTCCAAAACCAGGACAGACATTCCTCTCCGCCATATGAACGATTAACTCCACTGCTTTATCGGTCAATCCACTTCTGCACAACCTACAAATCAAATTCCCAGCCACACCAACATCAAACCCATCTAACCGTTTATGCAACAGTTCCTCCACCAAACCACATGCTTCCAGAACTTCGCCACGGCTGGTGAACAGCTTGATCAGCATCTCATATGTCTGCATATCTTTCCCAATTCCGTTCCTACCCATCTCCCTTGTAAGCTCCCTTGCGCCTTCCATGTTTCCAGTCTTGCTCAGTGCAGCCAGCAAAGTATTGAAAGTGGCCACATCAGGCTTGCATCCCAACTCCTGCATCGATGCAACCATCTTGCTCCCAGCTTCCATCTTGCCTTGCTTGCACAACCCATCTATGTAAACGTTGTATGTCCGAATGTCGGGGACCAAACCGTACAGGAGCAATTCGTCGAACACCTTATCTGCTAATGCAAAATCTCGGCTGTCCACGGCCCCTTTCAGAACCAAGTTGTAGCAGACTATATCCGGCTTGATTCCATCTGATTTCATCTGATCCAGAACATCTACCGCATCATTACTGTATCCTCCTTTCACCAAAAATCTCATCAAGTTGGCGTAATCGATCAATCCAGGTACAAACCCTAATTTCCTTAGTTCTCCGAAAAACCCAATTACATCGGCGCTGGAAACATCTGTTTGCTCGCAAAGGGATGAGAGCAAAAAAGAGCAAATCTCTGCCTCCACAATGAACCCATCAGCGATCATGCGGTGGAATACCTCAATTGCGTGGGCAACTCTCTTGATTCTACAAAGAGCTGAAATCAATATACGAAAGCTCGATTCTTCCATTCGAATGTTCATAGCTTGACTCTTCAACAAAATTTCAGGAACCATTTTCATCCGAGTATTGCTTCTACAGACAAAAGAGAGCAGAGTGTTGAGCGAGATTGCAGTAGGGGCGCACCTGAACTTGGGTATTCTGGAGAAGAGATCCACAGCTTTCTCAATCTCGCGCGCGTTGCAATAAATTTTGATTAGATCGGCGAGGATGAACTCTGGAGTTTCGAATTGCTCGACGGTTTCCAGGTGGTCGAGAACTGGAGGGATATCGTGAAGCTGGGAGGTTTTTGACAGCGTTTTAAATACGAAGTGATATGCTTGAGGAGTTGGGTGGCAGTTGTAGATGCTAAAGGAGTTCACCAGAGGAGAAAGAAGACCCGTTTTGCTGGGATCTTCTTCCCGCCGGCGCTGCGACGTTGCCCCCGCCGCCGCTTCTTTCAGTGACTTCATTGCCAGCACCTGATTGAAAGTTTGGTGCCATTGGGTCTTGTAAGGAGAATGCGGCCACTTCCGATGTTTCCTCAGGTAAACGCAGGGAGCCTTCGCGGAAGAGGATCGAATCCTCGCCATTGATTGAATCTCGTTGTTACGGGTAAGTCTGCGAAACCCATATCACTCGGCAGTCGGCACTGAGGCAGGCTGTCTGTTCGTCGAAATGCCCAGCTGAAAATTCTATGAACATGCTGACGCCCATTCTTTCTTTGAGAGTTCTTATAGGCCCAATAGCTTTTATTTCATTTTTGACAACGCCGAGAGCTCCGTTACTATGCTCACAAGCGCAAAACAATATTCCTCCATGGCCCAATAGTTATACAAGGAAAATTTGTTATCCAAAAGCACATAAATGCCATTTTGTGTTGATCAAAATAACAAAAATTAGTAAGAAAGAAATGTGCGGAAATGTTTAGTTGAATCCCAGATGAAGGGAATGAAAAACACGTCACAAGTGAGTGCCATAAATAGTACTCATCTACATCCTCTGCAAAAATGCTCCCTTTTCCCAGCCAGCAAAGCCCCGTTTTGGATCTGGTGTGTCTTCCTTTCGTGGGAGGGCAAGAGGAGGCGATCATGGCAGGGATCGATCTGGTAATCGTGCCAGCCATGGCTGCACCCAATTACTTCAACCCAGTTGTGGTGGTTGGGGAGCAGTATGTGGCCGATTACCCGGTCGACCTCACGATCGCCTCCAAAATCCTTACCCGCGGTGAAAACGATTTCACCATCAAGGACATCAACAGCACCACCATTTTCCACATCAAAAGCAAGCTGTTGAGCCTCCATGATCGCCGCAGGATGCTCGATTCCGCTGGAAACGTTGTCCTCTCCCTCCAGCAAAAGGTACGTTCGGTTTAACAATGTCGCATAGAGAGATTGACGTGTAATAATTTGGCTTTTGTTGTTGCCTTGTTGGTTTCATTTCATCAGATACTGAGCTGCCACAGGAGATGGCAAGCATTCAAGGGAGATAGCACGGATCCGAAAGATCTGCTGTTCAGCGTGAGGAAATCGTCCATTCTCCAGTTCAAGAACAAGTTGGACGTGTTCGTGGGGGAGAACAAGAGGGAAGAATCCCCTGATTTCAGGATCAAAGGGGGCTGGCATGAGGGTTCCTGCTCCGTTTGTCTAGGGAAATCCAAGACCATCATTGCACAGGTTAGGAAGAAGTTCCAATTTAATTAACGAACCCAGTTACGTTGTTGTTGCTCTCTTCGACTGCGTATGGTGATGGCTGGTGTTTGCTTGAAATATATGTATGCAGATGCAAAAGGGACACAGCGCAAAGACGGTGGTGCTAGACGCTGAAAGTTTTAAGGTGTCCGTGTACCCAAATGTTGATTATGCCTTCATTGTGGCACTTGTGGTCATTCTTGACGAGATCAACGCAGACCGGAGCGGTGAGGACTGAGTACCGGTTTCTCATCATGAGGATAACTAACTCAAAATGCTAATTCCATACCTGTACAGCGTAGCAGAGTCGAGTGGGATCGGGGGGAAAACAATGGGCTTTAATTTTTTTTGTGGAGCATCCCTTTACTGAAATTTGTTTATTGCTCATAACCGGCGTTGTATCTTCCATTAGAACAAAACCAACTCTGTATTCCATTTTCAAGGATTAATGAATGGTGGTCTTCTTTTGGTGCTATTGGATCTTTCTATACACAATTATAAGTTATATACACAATTAGAACTGATAACGATTAGGTGAAACTGTCATGTTTTTTACCCGGTCCGGTCTCTATCTGGTCCCGGTCCCACTCCAGTTTTAACCCAAAACCGGATTTCTCCCTCCCTTCTCAAAAATGATGTCGTTCAGCTCCTTCCCTCACTTCACTTTCGTGGATATTTTCTAGAAATAGCACTGTTTTAAAAAAACAAAATTCCAAAAATAGCACCCAACCCCAAAAGATCCAAAAATAGCACCCTTTCCCAAAAACCGCCACCCAGGGGCGCTGTTTTCGATGAAAACTGCACGGTTAGGGGGCGATTTTGCTGACCGCGTGGGGCCGGGGCGGTTTGGTTGCAAACCGCACTCCACCCGGCGGTTTGTATTATATAGATTTTTCCGAAAAAACATCATAAGTGGTTTTGGCAAAATTGGTTTAGTTATTTATTGTGCACAAGAAGTCCTAGGTTCGAATCCCCATCGTCCCCACATTAGGTCTTTTTATTTTTTAGAGATTAAAAAAAGCACCATATTGTGGGGATGGTGGTTCGAACACAGATATAATAAATAGTTGGCAAAATACAGTTGTATATCCACAACTATCGAAATACATGAAATATCCAAAAATCGAAAGGTTGTGTGACAAATCTATCCTTCCGTCTGAAACTATAACGGCGTGTCATACGACTTTAAATTGACTAACGGAATGCTGAATCGATGCCATCTCACCTGCCACATAAGCCAAAAAGCAACCAAACTTTACATGTAGATGCCAAATAGGCTAGTTGAATAAAGGCAAAATACAACTGTATATCCACAACTATCAGGTTTGTGACAAATATATCCACAACTATCGAAATACACGAAATATCCATTTCCGTCCACTCCGTTAACTCCGTCAGTTAACTTGATGACTGGACAGACGGTGGATGCTTTGTTGGCGTGTTTCTGGCCCTACTGAATGACGTGGATTAAAAGAGGAAAAAAAATTTAAAAACCCTAAAAAACACAGACGGCGAGACTAAAAATCCAACCCAGAAACATGCCCGATAACCACTTATCCTCCTCCGATCGACGCCTCCACCCTCAAATAACCCTACCCCAAGCCCATATTTCGATTCCAACCACAATCCCCAACCATTGCCTCCCTTTTACTCTGACAGCTTCCATGCAGTCGGCGCCATGGTGATACCAAGTTTGAATGTAACCAAATCGCCAACAGAGAAGACTGCAGCAGCGAGGTCTAACAGATAACGGTGTAGCCCATATTTCGATTCCAACCACAATCCCCAACCATTGCCTCCCTTTTACTCTGACAGCTTCCATGCAGTCGGCGCCATGGTGATACCAAGTTTGAATCTAACCAAATCGCCAACAGAGAAGACTGCAGCAGCGAGGTCTAACAGATAACGGTGTAAAGTTTGGTTGCTTTTTGGCTTATGTGGCAGGTGAGATGGCATCGATTCAGCATTCCGTTAGTCAATTTAACGCCGTCTGACAAGTCGTTATAGTTTCAGACGAAAATTGATAGATTTCTCACACAACCTTCCGATTTTTGGATATTTCGTGTATATCGATAGTTGTGGATATATTTGTCACAAACCTGATAGTTGAGGATATACAACTGTATTTTGCCTAATTTTTTTTCCTCTTTTAATCCACGTCATTTAGTGGGGTCAGAAACACGCCAACTAAGCATCCGCCATCTGTCCAGTCATCAAGTTAACTGACGGAGTTAACGGAGTGGACGGAAATGAATATTTCGTGTATTTCGATAGTTGTGGATATATTTGTCACAAACCTGATATTTGTGGATATACAGCTGTATTTTACCTAAATAGTTAACTAAATTTAGCACAACATCTACAACACCAAACTACAACTCTTCTTTTGAAACAATAATATATTGACAAAGTTTTATTCCTCGAACGGTAAAAATCCTCAATAACTTTTAACAACTATAACTTGGTGCTCCAAAATCCGAACGTCATGATTTTTTTTTTCATTTTGCATAACTTTTTAAGGACTACAATTTTTATCATTGACATAATTTCAGAATGTACGTGGATTTGTGAAAAGGGAAGGTAAGTTATTCCCAAAACCTGGTATATCCAAAAATATTTCTGTTTTGAAAATTCATTCGTAGCAAAAATATGCAGCATCGTCCGTTTCCGAAACGGCTGACGACTCAGGGGCTCGGGGAGTGTGATCGTAGACGTCTTGACCAGCCTTTTTCCGAACATAAAATTTGGTTTGGTGTGCGTGACTGTGATGGGAGTAAAGCTCCTGTCCCAGGCGATTTTACGATGGATTTCTTCAAGGAATGCTGGCACTAGTTGAAGGGATCTATCCAGAAGGCCTTCTAGGACTTTTATGTGTCGGGGTTTCTTTCTAATTGTGTCACCAACTCTTTTGTCTGCTTAACTCCGAAAAAAGGCACATTTCTTATTTTGTATTATTTTCGAACTCCTAATTAAAGGTTCAGATCAGTACTTTTTAGATTAAGAAATTATTATCAATAAACACTTCAATCCCTAATCTCAATTCTCTCTCGTTCTTCCCAATTCTTTCGGTTCCTAATTTCCTCTCTTCTCAATCCCTGAATCCCCTCGAGGGAACTTCTAGTGTCCATCAACTGTATACTTGTGCACATTCTTAAGAGTTAAGAATTCATTCAGCCAAACGGCCAAGAATGCACTTGCAATGAGAGAAAGCAAACATAAAACAACATATTAGGCAAAGCCCTTCCTTACTCTCTTCATTATAATTTTTTCCGTCCCCTGCCTCAACCGCGTTCAGTTGTCTTTCTTGTATGAAATGAAAGTTCCTTGCCTTCAAAATTGACGCGTCAATTCATCCCAATGCCGGATGGTCCTTAGAAGCATCATAACACCGGCAATCCCCTGCCCTACGGTTTAGCTATAATATATATAGTTCCTACATTTGCCTCATTCCCTCACAAGTCACAACATCCATCCTCCTTTAATATCCTTCCCCTTTCACCTATCCCTCTTCCCAACAGTCAATCGTTGAAAAAAATCATGGCCGGCGCCGGTCAACCCGCCAACCCGATTCCGGCAATGACGGTGTACCTCCCGCTGGAGCACCCGGCGGTGGTAATCAGCCCCTATTTCCTGGCCCAATACCCAGTAGACCTCACAGTCGCCACAAAGATCATGACCTTGGGAGAGAACGATTTCACCGTCAAAGACGTCAACGGGACAATCATCTTCCGGATCAAAAGCAAGCTGATGAGCCTCCACGACCGCCGCAAGTTGCTCGACGCCGCCGGCACCGTCCTCGTCTCGTTGCAGCAGAAGGTCAGTATATCCGCCACCGTCTTGCGGATCAGTCGATCTTGTATTTCTATATAACGTGCTGATTCATATCTGTTGGTGCCCTGTTTGTTGCTGCAGCTGATGACTGCGCACAGGAGATGGCTGGCGTACCGGGGAGACAGCAAGGACTCCAAGGATTTGCTGTTCACGGTGAGGAAGTCGTCGTTCCTGCAGATGAGGACCGAATTGGATGTTTTCTTAGCCGGGAATGAGAAGGAAGAGGTCCCCGATTTCAAGATCAAAGGCAGCTTCTCCGAGAGTTCCTGCGTCATTTACCTCGGGAACACCAACAAGATCATCGCTCAGGTACTTGATTTGGTTAACCCAGATCTGGAATTTGTGAATTAATTATTCAATTGCTAACCGATTTGAGTGTGTGTGTGGGCAGATGTACAGAGGGCACAGCATGGCGACTTTCCTGTTCGACACCGACGATTTCAGGGTGACGATCTACCCTAATGTGGATTACGCCTTCATCATCTCTCTCGTTGTGATTCTTGACGAGATCAACGCAGATCGCAGCGGCCAAGACTAGTCTGCCAAAATTGCTTGTGGTATCTGCTGCTGCTTGTGTTACTTTAGTTTCCGGTTTCGCAATAAAAAGAAAGAAATATATAGATATAGCATTAGCAATTTGGCCTTGTTGGTTGGCTTGGAGCTGCGTTTTGTGTGAAAGTCAAGACTGTGTTTTGATGATTGGTGTTAGTAAACTGATCCCAGTTGGTGTTCATATCCTATCATTATTATGACTAGAATGGAAGCCCGCGCTTCGCGGCGGGGACTTACATTTGTACTACTAAAAGTGTTCTTTAAGGTGAAGTGTGTGTTTAAATGTTGCAAACTATTCTAGTGATAAGAAATACGACCATCCAGCAACTGATAGCGTTTGAAAGCTTGCTGCAGAACCTGTAAAATGCAGCATTTCAGTTTAGAGAAGCAAGTAGTAACAAACGAAACCACAAAAGAATCAAAAGTAAACAATGGGGAGAGAAGTTATCCTTGTTGGTAAGCACAATAAGTTATGGTGCTTCCCTATATCCAAATTGAAAAACATTCAATTGAGATCATGGAAAAAAGTCATATTGTTTAACTAATAACCAATTCACATATGTTTATTTGATTAGATCAACTGTAAGTCCAAGCCTATACTGAACATGATATTTTTTTAATCAAATGATGTCCTCTAACGTCAGATTGATGTTTCTAGTACAAACAAAGTCCAAGTTGTCAATGAATTTGTTGTGGTTAGTGCCATTCTTAATAGAATGTCCTGTATGCATCCTCAATGGCAAATACTTTTCAAGAAAGGAAAGGAAAACATATAATCTGAAGCTTAAATGACATCAGGTACTGGTGGCTGTTGGGGTCAAGTAGTCTAGGTTTGGGTAACGTTTTTGAGTTTCTTCCTTTTGAATGGAAGATAATTCGGTCGATTGAGAATTTGTCATCACTGATCAACCAAAAGGAGAAACAAAACTGACCTTACTGAAGCATTGAATCCCAAAGAGACCATCAAAGTCCAGAGCTGACGGATTATGCTGCAAAAGGAATTCATTACATAGTCAAAAGTATCCTCCATAGTAAAGCAAACAAACAAAATCCTCCCAAACAATCAACCCGTCCACCATGAACTCTTATAATCCAAATAACATCAATCTAGAGCATATCATTTAACAACTGTTAAATTACCAATAATTACAACACCTTATTTGCAATCCAGATCGAGATAATTGAAGGAGATCGATAATATAAATGAAAAAATAAAGTATGAATAAATGTATGTCCTCTAAATATAGTCCAAAAACTGTCAAACCAAACTTCAAACCTTGAGGGTAACCTGACACAGGGAAACTTTTGTAACACACCCACATAACTTAAATAACAAAATTTCCCCGCATATCAATAAACCAGAAAAAGTTTTTTGGCGAACAACCCAAACAAAGTAGCGTAGAATACTGAGCATATGGGAAGAACTAAAGAAGATGAATGACTATGATCTATCATACAAAACAGAAACAATAAATAGAAATGACCAAAATGGGAGGTAGAATACCTAAATACGCAGGCACACCATCTAGTCACTATATTTAAGCAAATGCATAGGTCTACTCTGCAAACACTCCATTTTTCAGATACACGATGAAGGATATAAGAAGCAAAACTATTGTAAAACCCTGTGCCAAAAACAAAAAACAAAAAAAAAATACTGTTGGCTGCAGTCTGCAGGTAGAGAAGCTAGCCCAAACCATTTAGAGGGAATGCATCTGCAATTTGAAACTCTTTGTCACTACCGGCAGCCAACCCCAGGCATTGCAACAATATATATTCCAATCACATTCAGCAGCAGAACAATGGGTAGAGAAGAGAGAACTTGGAACACATCGTAGGAGAAAGAGAGGGGACTCAACTAAGAGTTGTAGATTGTGGAAATTCCTCCATTATGGGTTCTTCCCGCCCTGGATCTCACAGTCATCTATTGCCATCCTTTGTAGAGAATCTTACAAACGGTAAAACCACAAAAAATCAACAAAATCAACCAAAGAAGATTTACAATAGAAAAGAGTAATATCATAATATCAATTAGATAATTCTCAGAATGATTGTAGATGTCATTCAACACTCACCCAAAGCCCTTTGCATTGCAGTGGATCAAATATAACATATGATAACCTTAAGAAAAGATTGCACACAAAAAAAGAGATTTCCATTCAATATACATAGAAATAATCCATGAGAAATGAAAAATACAACCAAAGAAATTCTTAGAAGCAATCGACTAACACTGATTCAACAAACATTTTGTCAAGATGATCCTTGCACCTGATATCAAGATGCAAAAAGGAAACAACACAACCCGAATGAACAAATTAGTCAGGTAACCAAAGACTGAACAAAACGTGAAATGACAAATGGATAATAGGAATGAAATAATAAAGGCAACCTGGAAAATTCCCCATATCCTTCCACTAACATGCAAAACATATTGGTATAAGAAAAATGCATCAAAGACAATCCAGTTCTTGACCCTTCTAAAAATGTCTTTAGCCTTCCCACTTTGTCCGAATGTCTCAAATTCCCAATACTTACAGTGTCAGATGAATCAGGGAACAACAGTTAACGACACCAGCGAAATCATAACATGTGCATTTCTCAACGACACTACAGAATGCAATTCACATAGGAAAGGTCAATCAATCCTCACCTACTTCACCAGAGTATACTGGGTTTTCCTTCGCCACCGGATTTTATATCTAAAATTTTGTATCCTATCTACTCTTCCCAAATCCACAAACAAAAGCATCACCAGTTGCTCCTCAGAAATCAAAATGAACGAATATTTCTTCGACATATAATCGCAACGAATCTGTAAGAAAGAAGAGTATGCTGCAACTTTAACCTGGAAATGAGACAGAGAGACTTCAAGCCAAATTTGGCCGCGAGATTGAGAAGGACTTGCTAAATGGATTCCCGAAGATGAAGGGTGCATCGAATCTGATACAGAGGCACAAATCTTCCATTTCGTCAAAAGGAATCAATGAATAGACATTGAAGAAGAAATTATAGGGCGACAAAACCCTGAATGTACCTTTAAATCCTTGAATATAACCTGTTCAGTGAACATGCATATATCTATAAAAAAAAAAATTGGAGGGCGACAAAACCTGAACTGTGATATCAGTAAAGAATCGTCTAATTCAATGAATAATGAAAACAAAGTCAATGAAATGGTTCGGGCATTGATCTTAAGAACCTAGAAACACATGATTTCTGGGCTGCGAACAACTACAACCAGAAAGACCGAAAACAGTAAATAAAAAGATACTAAAACAATAAAAATACCCAAACTGTTAAACGTGTATGTTCACTTTCCCAAAACCAAAGAACGTCACGGTTCACAACTAAAAATAAAGGAAATAAATAGATGAAACCAAGCGATTCATGGTATCCCAATTATTATGCTCCAAATAAGTTTAGTAAATAAACTCCAAAAAATGGAAATTAAGAGAGATAGCAGTGACAGTTAACCCAAGCCTAAAATTCATAATGAATTAACTGGCAATCACAGGAAGCTAAGATTAAAAGTTAAGCATCAGTTCATCACTAAGAAAACGAATTGGGTTGTAACTAATGACGCAACTTAACCCAATTTCATAACAGGGAACTATATTAGCATCAAGATATAGACAAACATGTGTTACTTCTTATTTCATACAACAATGGTCGAGGGTGAAATTGGGAGACATCCTTGTAAAAGTTACTGAAATGTCAAAAAGAAACCCGCACCAGTCAAGGAAGAGGAAAATAGACACAACCCTGCTGAAGTTTTCCTTAACCAAGACATGATCCAAAAACATTTAGTGAGTTCAATGCCTATTCTTAAAGCATAATACAAGTATTAGATCTGTGGTAACTCAAGCTATTATTGATTTAAGATGCAGAGTATGTTATAATGAAGCATATCCACACGCCTAAGAACCCAATGAAACATCAAAAGAAATGAAGCTAAATAATAACACACTGATGGTGCTAGAGATCAACCAGCTAAAAAAACTCAGTAGGCAAAAGTTCCTTGAGGCATAAATATGATTGATACCTGCAATGTGTCTCTCACCTGCACCAAGAAGCATTACAACATGAGCATCATGGCCACCATCATGCATCTTCACGTCCACCCTCCTCTTACTACTCCCATTCAATCATTTCCTGGAGAAATTCCAAACAAAATGGATGTTAAGTTCTGGCCAAAAGATCACAAATTTAACACCGTATGAACCCCCATAACCTAAAAACGAAAAGGATGAGAAATTCAATCTCATTAAACTTCTAGTCATTACAAAGAAGAACCAAAGCACCATGAGAATCACTTTAACATTCCCTCCGGAACAGCACAAACTTTCTGTGAACTAAAATATGTGATGACTGAATGAGACCTCAATTATGGCTCAGTTCAGCATTCAGACATCATTGGTTGAAATAAAAACAAAACCAATCAAGATTCTGAAGCAGTTTAGCTGCTGACTTAAACCTTCTCATTGATTTTAAGAGACTTTAGAATTATGGTGTGTTTTTCTAATCCACCTTCCTATCAAACCCCGAGAGCTCAACTCTCTTATGTGGCACTACGATTCCAGTAAAGATGAATTCAACCACACATTAGAGAGGTCATGTGAAGACAACTCGAACTTGACATGTAATAGAAAGAAAATAAATTCATATTTACAGGCTACTGGGTTCTTCTCCATGATTAGTTCAAATGCATGCAAGCGATCTCAGGATTCTAAGTATAGAGAAACAATTACCGCATCTTCCCAAAAAAAAGACAATCCCAAGCAGCAGGATTTTTTTGTTGAGATGAAAATGCAGCAATTTCAGACAGAAAATAGAGCATTTATACCTCACCATGTCCTGTAAAAAGCGTCTTCATAGCCTGCATAACCATGAATTATTAACACGTGAGATGTGGAATGTTTCATCAATGACTATCAAGAGACACGAATACCTGCAGCATCATTCACTCCGTCCTAAGTATCATCTATTACATCATCAAAGTCAACCCAATAGGACATAATTCATATGACAAACACTACACGTGAACGTAACATTACAGACGATCAGTTCTCCTTTCCGTTACTCGATTAGGTTCATGGAAGCAAAGGGGAATACGACGGTTTGGTTAAGGTCGTAGGGATCAGATTCACTGAAAGTGAGAACAACGAAAAAGACAGAACAAACACTTGGATCTTGATAACCACTAAAAGTCAGCAAAGAATAACACCTAAAAGTCAGCAAAGGACAACACAACAAACTCAAGCAAATAGGCTAGTGGAGGCTTGCCCTGGCTACAGGAAACTAAATAAATGGCTATCCAAATCAACCCAAAATTCCCATAAAGAAACTATCTTTCTGGTGTCGGAGATTCCTTCAAGCCTCATCCCCTTTCTATTCTTGCAAGCCCGAGGCCCGCTCAATCCTACTCACTCTAGAGACACACAAGAGTGCAGGACCTCTCCGTCGTTGTTTCCCCCTACTGCAGAACTCAACGCAGAAAGCATTCTCTAACTTCTAAATTAGATCTATATGAGAATATTAAAGGATGCAGAGGTTCCAATCAAGATGTCCTACTAAATCGATGATACATGACCATCATTGTCCATCAGACTAAAACATTTGCTAGCAAGTCACACCCTAAACCAATAAAAAAACATACATCTCAAGCTCACGGCCTAGTGAACAACTTCACCGTGTTCTTATGCAATCACAGAAACATAAATTGAAGCACAAAAGAGGAAGATTTCAGCATGGAAGGCAAACTGACCGAAGCATGATCATGATAATTAGCAATCAAGATGGTAGTAGTAGTCTCGGCTTTAGTTGGTGGAGCTGATTGGCTGGGATGCCTTTTCAGACCTGGGGCAGACCTACTGTAAGACACGGACATGGATGAAACGGTAGGTACTGAGGCCTTATCTCAACTTCTTTCCCCAAGCAGCGATCTTGTCAAACTGGAGTATGAAGCAAAGAAGGTCACTATACATATCAAATAAAAACATGGCATAAGAAAAGTGCAAGGCTCTAATTAAATAAACAAAATGTAGTACTTACCCCAAACTCGAGCCTCTTCCTTAACCTCGTCCATCCTTATGGGCTGTGGTAACTGAAGTTTTGGATTCTTCACTTTGCTCATTGCGGTAACTAAATTTCCCATTGTTAAAAAGCACGAAAGCTCTTAAAAAGGATGTGGCCTGCTAGTAAAACCCTTTTATCCTCCATCCCCCTATTATGGCCCCAGATCGCAGTCCCGCCATTCTCCTAGCCGGAAAAAAACCCATGATTTCTATGTCGATCTTCCCTCTGCCATTCCCCTGCACACCAACCCTTCATTGTTACCTGGCCAGAACCAAAACCAATACTCACCCATCCTCTGACCTATGGCTATGCTTCAAAGAGTCCCACCAATGACCACATGAAGAAAACCAACGGCTCAACATCAACCAAAACCCTATAAGAAAACAAGCATAACATAGGATATATGCCTTTTTCAAATAGAAGAAGTATGTTTATACAGGAGAGTAGAAGGAGAAACCAAACCTCTCTCTAGCTCATCCTTTCTTGGATCGGTCCATATCATGGAGGGTTAGAAGGTCGTCTAGGGAATAGGCTAGTTATGGTTGAACCCCAATCAGCAATTGCTTGGTAGTGATAGGTTGAGCAGACAATAGTGCACCATCACAGAGCATTTTTTCAATAGACAATATGCTGAAACTCTTCCCTGTAAAAAGGACAAACCCATTTAATATTTATCATCAATATACTAAATCTTCAAGTAATCAAATCAAAGAAACCTAACAGAGTTATGTTCATGGAGCAAAAAATGGCACCAATTGACTCCATCCGCCTTCTGTAAAACCACATCCTTAACCCAATTGATTCTATTTAGAGCTCCGTATTTGTTAGAGTTTTGAATCGTTTACCCGATAAACAAAGATTCAGCTAACAGAGTAAAGTAAAGCAGAAGCTCACCTTCTGAATTTTTGCTCGAGAGATTGGAAAAGAAGACCAGATTGAAGAACTTCCAGCTCTCCATTCCATCCTCTACCCTTCTGAATCGCTGCTGATATTCTTCACCATTCCCTCTGTTGTTCCTCTATTCAATAGCTTAAGCCTGTCAAATCCCCCAAGTTACAGAAACCCTACGATTTTTTTTGACATGCCAAGTAATAAGTACTGGCATGCTCTTCTTTGTCGGCCTTACTCTTTTCGTCATTCTCTTCCTCAAAGTAGACCTAGAGAGAGATAAAGAGAGATGAGATTCAGTTTAATAGATGGGAAGAGGAAGGGCTAGAAGTAACCAAAAAACCGAGAACCTGTAAAAGGAGAGCTCTCGCGGTGGCTGCCGACATCAGCAACGATCGACAGCCAGTGTGGCATAGTAATGTGAGCAACAGAAAACCATTTGGTTTTGCTCAAGAGTCATTTTACCTTCAGTCTTTTGTGCTTTGCCATCAAAAAAGAACCTAAAAAACAAACGAATTTAAAGCTATAAAGCAAGGAAGAAGAACATGGCTTGAGATAATTGAGTGGATTGGGAAAACATATATGCAAGGATAGATGCTGATGCGAAGATTGGTGATAATTCAGAATTACTTTTCCAATAAGAACTGCAAACGTACAAAATCAACAACATATAAAACACCATAAATAAAAACCTCAAAAACCAATTGACATTCGTCTCATAAAGCTGCCTTCCTTCTCTCTCAAGCAATGGCGGCAGCTCGAGCAACAAAATGGCAATATCTAGAATGAAAAGAAACATAATCAAGGCATCCTAAATACAGTTCCAGTTGCAAACTATATGGCAAAAGTAACGTGGGGAAACATGAATAAACAGCAGAAGCGGTGAACCTCGCAATGCGAGGCCAACTTAATGTAATAGGAAGACCAAAAGCTAACCTTGCTAACTGAAACAGCACCCGCCATCGTTCAGTACAGACTTGAGTTATGCACAAACTGAGCGTGGAAGACTGTAAATAGATCACACCAAAATGAAAACATTAAAAATCGTCTATAAACAGAAGAACATGAAATTGCAGAAGACTAAAGTGTACCCAACTTCATGGGTTTTGAGCTTCCACATTGGACTCCTCATTGTTGCATTGCTCCTGTTCACTGGTGAAGGGGTTGCCACTACGGAACTTCATGGGGGAAAAGCAATCTGCATTTGAACAGGTTATAAATGGAATCAAGCGTTATCATCTATACTGCAGGTGTTGTCGATTATAGCTACCGCTGCGATAACCAACCAAGCACAAAATTGGTTCTCCGGCTTCAGTAGACGCCTCAGTTGTGCCCAACTGTTGCCTAACCCATAGCCTATGTTAAAACATCAAATGCCTTTAAGTGAAAGAGATAAAGCGAGAGAGATTTCTAACTCCGAATAAAAGAGAAATGAACATTCATTTTTCTCATCCTCCTTCTTTCTTCATTACTTTGTTTATTTACTGGATTGTAATCTGACATTTCCAAACAACATTCTTAAAAAGACCCAATTTGTATATTAAAGAAACCACCATAATCCCTACGAAACAAAGAAAAAAAAAGGCCAAATCCAAATCTATTCAGGGGAAATTGAATTAACATATATACAGGAAACTACAAAGTTACCCTAGACACATTTTGTACCTCTGCCAGCAAGCTATGTCGCTGCTGTTCGTCGGCAAGGGTGAGGATCGCCGATGACGACTTATTCCTACTCTTCCCTTGGCTGGAATCAAATATTAAAACATATAAGAACCAGTTCAAAGAAAGGCAAAACCCCAAATACAAACAGAACCAAACCCCAAAAAGGAGAAGCTTACCTAGAGAGCAGCGGCTAGCCCTAGTTGCCTCTCTTGCCTTCTGAAATCCACACCGGCGATAGTTCCTCCCTTATCCTGCATCCTGTCTGAACTCAAAACCCCAAAAGGAAAAAGTCCGATTAATTAAGCACAAAACCAAAAGGGAAGATAAATCCACAAAAGAACTTACCTAAGAGCTTCTTGAAAATTGCCCCTTCGCCAACGGCAGGGCATGTTTCCTCTGCCGTGACAATCTCCGGCGAAGCGCACGTCATCCCAGAACCTTGGAGGCATCGTGATAAACTACGATTGATTTAACATTCTAAGCACCAAAATATCAGGAAAATATTATTGTTAGGAGGACTATGTATTCATCAGAGGATGAGGACTAACTATAACATGGTAACACTTTGACAAACAACCTGAGTTTGGAAATATATAGGTATTCTCATGCTAAGCCTAAAACTATAAACTTCAAGGGCATTCTAATAATTATGTATTAATTTTACTTAATGTGGAATTGTAAACTTATAACTCAAAAGCACGCTTTAATCCCCCAAAAGCTTATCACACACCTGTAAACTGATCCTGGAATTATAAACTTAAAGGGCCCTCTAATAATGTATTAATTTTAACCTATTCATCTTTCCACTTCCTTGCTCTTCCTCTTCTTCGAGGAAAGAAAGCAAGAGACTTGATGCTGTCTGTGCAACTGGCATAGGCTGGATTAGAGCCAAAATGGATTTCGACAATTAATCCCCCACCCCAAGCACACATTAAGACTTTAATCAAAATACTAAACTAATCCGGACCAATTTGGGGACAAAGAAAAGCAACCTTATGAAGCTGAAGCTATATATGGTCAAGGGCACAGGAAAAAAGGTATATATTCAGATAAGGTATCCATGTAAATAAAAGATGAATTACAACAAAAAAAAATTACTGGCTAGACATACCCCTTGTTCCTCTTCTTGACGCTTCTTCTTCTTCTCCCTCCTCCTCCTCCGCTCCTTCTACACTATCTTCCAGCGAGAGAGAAAACACAGGAGATCTGTTAGGTCACACCAGCAAAACTTATTGATAAAATACGGCATATATCAATCAAATCGCCAGACAAAAGAAAAAGGGAGGACAAAGAGAGAATGAAATAGAAGCGAAACTAATATTAACAGAGAAGATGAGTAAAAAGAGAGAAGCTGATCTACGAAGCAGACTTACTGGCATCATTCATTCCGCTGCTACAAGCCAGAAGGGAGCGAGAGACCTGTGGACGGCCAGTCAGATCCGGAGCAAAAGGCAAGTTGATCAGGTGGAGACACCAATCAAAGTGAAAAATGGTACACCAGAGAAGTTGACCAAAAGGAGAAGAAGAAAGTCGAAAGAAGGGGGAGGTAGACACCCAAATGAAATAATTCAGACGGCAAACCTTCCCGTCGCCGCCATCGACGTTCACATCTTTCTCCTTCCCTCTTCCTGATCGAGAACCCATAAATAAAACAATAAGCATCAAAACAAAAACGAGTTACAAATATCTAAAAAAGGCAAACGCCTCTTACCTAAGTCGCCGGAACTATCACTGGCGTCCATGGAAGACCTTCCCGTCGCCGCCATCACCGGATTTCCCCTCGCTGCCATCGACGGCCTTGATCGGATCTCCTTCCTCCTCCTCCTCCTTCTGACTTGATATGAGAGTCTTCTCTCTCCCTGTTGTCTTCTTCTTCAACAGAGAGGAGACTGGTTGTGGGTGGGATTCGGATCTCCTTCCTCCTCCTCCTTCTTCTAACTTGACATGAGAGTCTTCTCTCTCCCTGTTTTCTTCTTCTTCAACAGAGAGGAGACTGGGTGTGGCTGGGATTTTGGAAAGGAAAGAAATGCCAAAAGGAGGAGATGCAGATAGAGATGGGTGGGTGGGAGACTGGGATTTACGGGAGAGAGATGGAGATTAGTGGATGAGAGAATGAGAGAGAGGCAGAATGCAGGAGAACAAAAGAATAAGGAGGGGAACAGAGAGAGATATGAGGGATCAAACATGGCGCCTCAAAACAAGGGAAGCAGAGGGCTCGAAAAGCGATGCATGAAAAGTAGAGGGAAGACTAATAGAACGACGGTAGGAGAAGCAGAGAAGCGATTTTCTCCTAATTGAAGCGACGGGAGCCGCTGTCCATGTCAGAAGAAGAGCCAATCAAAATTGAGAAGAAAAGGCAAATAAGGCAAACGAGTAACAGTGGCGGGATGTGACTCTACCAAACTTTCCCGTCGCCGCCATCGACGTTCACATCTTTCTCCTTCCCTCTTCCTGATCGAGAACCCATAAATAAAACAATAAGCATCAAAACAAAAACGAGTTACAAATATCTAAAAAAGGCAAACGCCTCTTACCTAAGTCGCCGGAACTATCACTGGCGTCCATGGAAGACCTTCCCGTCGCCGCCATCACCGGATTTCCCCTCGCTGCCATC